AGCTTTAATTTCAAATTCTATTTAAGTTAAATTTGAGATTAAGCACTTTAGCTGATGCTTTTTAGCAAGTAATTTGTTGTATTTTAGATTGGTGGCTTCTAATGAAGCTAAATTACTTAAAAAAATTGAAGAACTTACTGGATCAAACATTTTAAATAGTACTCGAGCAACATTGTCCTTAGAAATTTCAATAGTGGACAATCTTAATTCTCCTAAGAAGTTTTTGAAAATAATAGGAGTAAAATGTGAACATATTATTTCCCATTGCTCTCAAAAGATAGTAGGAAAACAATGCCTTATGTAAAGACAACTTTAATATCTATGGAGATCTGTTGGTAGATTCTGTCAATTATTGTAATACATAAAAGTAAGGAAGTGGACAGCAGCCCTGGAGCTCACTGGGTGTACGCGTGTCCCCATGGACCATATGTGAGCCCCATTCAAAAGTGAGAGAATAAGAGCCCACGTGGAGCTCCGTTAAATTCTGTCCCTGAGGACATTGAAACCTAACACTGAGAGTCTGTGTGGAATGAACCTGTGAAAAACCAGGCTAGAACTGAGTGCAGTGGTGAGAGGTGGCATGTTCTGTAGCCCCTGAAGGAACAGAATATGTCTTTTGTGTCGTGGGGCTTACCGACAGGGGGACCCACCAGGAAAGCCCACAAAGAACCCAGGAGCTTAGCCACGCAAGATTTCAGCTCAAACGCCTATCTGGCCCAGAGAGCACTGAGGCATCGCAACAGCAGTATGGTATTTTCTACCTCCCTTACCGGTTTGTTCTCTCCTTCTCCAGGGCTTTGTGCGGGTGGGGGCCAGGAAGGAGAAACAGCGGTCACTGGACTGGAGAGAGAACAAAACCCTTAGACCAGGAGAAAAAAGGACAATGTATCCTCTCTAGCAAAAGACCCCTTGAGGCAATTGTTGCTGAACAAGGGAGAAGTCTTACTTTTAAATCAAGATTTAAGTGTTAATTTTTGTGTTAGACATTCTAATTTCTGATTCATGGCTTTCATTGACAACTTAAAACAATTGTAAATCTTGATTAACAGTAATCCAAAGAGTCATTGCGGGTTTTTTTTTCTATGTCACAGATAGGCTCTCAAATGTATCCGCAGTTTTGTTCTCACTTTTTAAAAACTCTTTTCTCTGAGTATTTTAGAGTGTCCTTAAAAATTCTTTCAAAACATTTTCTTTGGCTACATAATTGTGACACATCCATACCATAAAATACTGAATGAACTTTTCTCTATTGTTAAGATAATTACATGGCTCATGTCTTTATATATAAATATATCTTGATGGTATTTATTGTTTTCTTAAAATGATTCATAAATTCAATATGGCCTTAAAAGATAAATTTTCATGATTGTGTCCTTTTTTTAATTTTTAAAAATATGTTTACTGATTTTAGAGAGAGAGGAAGTGGGGGATGGGGAGAGAGAAATATCAATGTGAGAGAGAAACATGGATTGGTTGCCTCCCATACACACCCCAACTGGAGGTTGAACCCAAAACCTAGGTATGTGCCCTGACCAGGAATTGAACCCCCCAGCCTTTTGGTGTATGGGATGATGCTTCAACCAGCTGAGCCACCTGGCCAGGGCTGTGTTAAATAGTCTTAACAAGATTTTTTAAATATATAAATTTTTAAAGTGAATGATTCTTTATTTTTAAGGAAAAATAAGGCACAGAACGTATTTTTCATGACATTGTCATGGATTTTGATAAAGCTGAGACTGATCTGGATTCTCTTGCTATTAACTCTTCCCCATTGTCTATTTCTTGACATTCTTTCCCACCTATGAAAACTTCTATCTTCCTTTTCTTTGCTTTAGAAAAAAAATTTTTAATTTCTAAAAGGAAGCAAATAAAAATCCCAAAGCAACCAGCTTGAATCAATCTTTCTGTTCCTCTTATGAATAGGCAGTTCCCCCAGGCAGTGAATTAGCCTTTAGAAAACATTGGCATTATGTTTCGCAACCCTGAGTGTCTGTATAGGTGGCCTGGAATGTATTAAGGAGAAGCATTGTGTCAGATCCTCAAATCTAAAGTAAATTATAAGTAGTTTTTGTTGCTGCTGCTGCTATTTTGTTCTGAGTTACTAGATTTTTAAAAATTATTATTTGTTTCAGTGAAAGTTGGAAATCGGTTTATTACAGTATACAGTTGGTTCTTGCTTTATGTTATAGAAATGTGTCGGGAGAGTTTGCTCTTTAAAGGAATCCTATGCTGAATACCTTCTCTGAATAGAGAGTATGTAAATGTAGACTCTTCTGTTTCTTCCATTGACAGGAATAATATTTTGTCTAATTTCAGGCTACAGTGTTTACCAGTAATTAATTTTTGCCGATAAACTCGATAGTATTCTCCCATATATTAGTATCTTACATATTTTTGTTGGGTTTATTGCTGCAAGAGTAGATTTTGTTCAGCTAAGTCCTCCAGTGGTGCCCCTAACCGGAAGCCTCAGAATCCCCGTCACCTGGGCGCATGTTAGAAGGGCAGGTTAGTAGGCTCCACCCCAGGCCTACTATTCAGAAACTAGGAGGTGGGGCCCAGCAACCTGTGTTTTAACAAGCCTTTTCTCTGAGTCTGGTATATGCTAAAGTTTGAGAACTACTGGTTTAGATAATATCTGTACAGTTCTTATCACTTGAGGCCTGGGTTTGGTTTAATTCCAAGATATGCATTAGGAACTCTCGCAATATTGCTTCTGAGAGATGCGTAGATGAAACACTGATAGCAGAGGCTGCCTCACAGGAGTTGCTTTCATTGTTTCCAGTAGTCGAGAGTTTAAGAACTAACCAGAGCCAAGAATCCTTCACTATTGAGCTGAACCAAAGGGTTTCAGTACTTAGGATAATTAGCAGGAGCTTCTCATTTGTTTACATCCTTTAGATTGTGTCTCCCTTCATTACCAAGATACTAAAACCGACAGATCATGAAAACACATTTCAAACACAGAAGGTTATTTTCAGAGTTAAAGAATTCTTGAATTAGTTCTCTTTCAAATGCTTTTAAGTTGTAAATAATTACGAGCAGACATACAATACCTAAAAGCCACTTCATTAGTATAATACATATATATGTTCATTAATTATTAACTTATTTTTATATAGGTGTTAACTTATTTCTAAATGTTTTAACATCTACCTATCTGGTTATTTTAAAAACATTTTTAGCCCTGGCTGATGTAGCTCAGTGGATTGAGTGCTGGCCTGTGAACCAAAAGGTCCCTGTTCAATTCCCAGTCAGGGCACATGCCTGCGTTGCTGGCCAAGTCCTCCGTTGGGGGCTTGTGAGAGACAGCAGATCCGTGTAGCTCTCATACATTGATGTTTCTCCCCCTCTCTTTCTTCCTGCCCCCTCTCTAAAAATAAATAAATAAAATTTTTAAAAAATTTAATAGAAAAATGTTATGGTGATATGTATGTGGATGTGTGTGTATTTTTTAATTGGAAAATTCTCTTTTCCTGAACACATTACAAATAATAAATGTTACATGCACTTATTATTTCAAGTGGATCCTACAGGATGGAATATTAACTTTTTAAACATGGTATTTTATAAATGGGGACACCTTTTTTTTTTTTTAAGAACTAGAAGTCCTTGCAAAATTTAGGGCCTTAGAGCTTATTCTAGATCTTAAGTCTATAGCAGGTTGTTTGTTTTTTTTTTAACTTAGGAAGATAATTACTCTAAGAAGAGGTATAACCGGTTTGGTGGTGCTGTCTTTTGGCATCACAGATGACTCCCGTCCATGTGGTGACTCGCATCGGTGATGAGCGGCCACTGGAGAAAGCTGACAGTGCTCCCTTTAGGCGCATTGAGGGCTGGGCGGTTTCCTCAAGTAGGGTGAAGCTACCGCCTTTTTGAAGATGTTGTTTGCGATTTTTAGGCAAAAAGGGTATCTAAATATTATTCACCCTCTACATATAACTAGGTCATACTGTGAAAGGTCAGTTTCTTATACTCAGCCAAAGGAAATCATTCGTTCAACCCTTATTTTCTAAATGTTTATAACTCAAGAATGAGGGAGGATTGGAACATATTTTAAGAAGGCCCTTCCCCAATCAAGTAAGTCTGTAATTTCTGACTAGTTTATATCCAGATATGTGGTGGAGAGTTTAGTATTGGGAATTTCCTGTGATATTTATTTATTTATGGGCTCAGATGAGATTTAAAAAATTGAGAAGGGGAAGCAATTGTCTGAAATTAATTAGCCTTTTTTGGCGTGGCCCAGCCACAGGTCTATATATTCATATAGACCATGAATATTCTATATCTGCGGTCTTTTTATGCTGGTACTGTTTAATCTATTTTCATATATAATTTACTTTCTAAGCCTAGTACAACGCTTAAACTAATCACTTAAGGTACATAAAAGTGCATAAAATTGGACATGGGCTCACAGGTTTTTTTATTCCCTGAGAACTCAGAATATAAAGTATCAATTCCTCATAAATTACCTTATTTAAGAATAATAAGTGATGTATTAATTTTTGTCTTTATTAGTGAAATAGGTCACGGTACAAGTCTGTAAGAAACAGTTAAGTGGTGCTGGGTGGAGGGAGGCAAAGGGGGGCAGAGGGAGACATCTGTAATAACGTCAACAGTGACAAGAAGCCATAGTGAAATGAAATTTGAAGAGAATTTATATAGAACAGCTTTTGAATTTTCAATTTTTAGGTAATATACCTCAAGTTATTTGAGATGGGGGCAGGGAGCCTGATAAATGACAACTAGAAAAGATTTTAAGTATGGTATTCACTTTCTGCGTAGGAAAGGAAGAAATATTTTTAAACTTATTTTTCAGTTTGTCCTAATGGTTCATGGTACTTCGTTTTCTTTGAATTAGAGTAGTTCTCAATGTAGTCTTTGACCTTTTTTGTTACATTGTCTTGGGCTGAAGAAAAATCTCTTTTTGTCTTTTTGACTCATGAACCTCACGTTTAGCAAGTTTATCTTAACAAAAAGCATTTTATGTTTTTCTCCTTTAGTTATCTGAGGGAAACCAAAAGCAAGCAAACCTACAGAAAAGCATCGAGAAAGCTAAAATTGGACGACATGAAACGGTAAGTTTGTATCTGTAGACTCTTTAATGATGTCAATTCTAAATAGAAGAATAAGGACATACAGCTTCCTGTGCGGAGTGTGCCGTTTCTGCCAGAAGAGAAGTCAGTCACAGCAAAGGACGTGAACATTTGACCTGGGAGGATTCACTAATTGTGAATCTAGGTTTATTATTATTGTGTGGTGTTGTATGTGGCGGCCTAGCTTAGCATAGAAGCGTAAACTCTGGAGCCAGTCTGCCTGGGCTTGAAAGTCCCCTGAACTCTCTGTTCTTGATTTTCTCAGTTGTAAAATGGGGAATAATAAAATCTACCTCTTTGGGTAATTGTGTGGATTAAATTAATATTGGTAAAGCACTTAGAAGAGAACCTGGCATAAGGTGAGCCCTATATAAATGTTTATATATGTTTTTAAGTGTCTTGATTTTAAGTCTTGGCACAGAACAAATTGAAAACTATCAATATAATATCCTTGTGACCTTTAATATTTCTAAATTATTTAAATGAATATTGACTTACTCCTTTATCTTTTAAAGTGCAATGTTCTCTAAAGTATTGTGTTAGGGTTTCTTAAAAATTACTTTCTCATTTCATCATTATCTCAGGTATGGATTTATGACTTGAGAAAATATCGAAGATCAACATGAACCATTAAGCATTCTAATTTAGGCTTCTATTTGTACCACTTGATTGTGAAAGGCTCAGAAACTTCTCAAATTTTAGAAAAGAATGCATCTCAGGTTTACAGTGGCTCTGTGCCTTTCAAAGTTATTTTACATACCTTCTTTCATGTGAATAGTCAGTATAGTCACAGCCCAGAACTGGAGAATGGTGATTTCTAAAGAACATTCAAAGGATGGTAAGTTCTGGGCATAACCTGACGCTGTTATTTCTTCTTCAATTTATAGTAAGTTACCACTTCTTTACCTGATCCCTTTTTTCTTTAACATTGACAATAACAATTGTCACCTTCAGCTAGTGGTGACATACCCATGCCCATAAGTTGCCAGCCAGTCTGCTGAGTGTTCCCCGTTGCAACAAGTACAGAACCAGCGGCAAACCTCGCTGGTGCCTGCAGTTGCCAGAAGAGTGCGGTCGTTCAGAAGGCTCCTGAGAAAGACGCGTTCTTCCGTTCATCCTGAGCTCACCAGTCAGGACTTTCCAGAAATACGTAGCTCCTGTTACTAGATATTATTTATGGTGATGCTGACAATGATGATGATGAAGAAGAGATAGCTAACATAAATACTCTGCTTAATATGAGCCAGGCAGGTACTGTTCCAAATGCATTTTGTATATGTATTCAGTTCTGCCAACAGTTCCGGAAGGGAGCTACAGTTACTATCTCCATGCTGGTGGGAGTACAAAGAGGTTAAGTAATTTGGCAAAAATCTCTGCGCTACTAGCAGCCTGAGGTGGCTCCCAGTGCACGGGGTCTGGGGAGCTGTCATTGCGCTCACACAGGTGTTTACCACGTTGTTTCTCCCGTCCTCATTGGTTAGCTTTTTCTTCTCTCATTTTTCATTGGGGAGCATGTGTAATTTGGGTGTGGTTGGCAAATATAACCATCTTATATTGTAGTTATTTAAAAATCTCTGCACTGCATCATGAGTGGCTATTTACACTTAAATCAAAATTAAGTACAATTAAATTCAGTCTCACAAAACCAGTAGCCACATTTCGTGTACTCAGTAGCCACGGGTGGCTAATGTTTTCTGCATTGATGGACACAGCTCAAGAACATTTCTGTCATTGCAGAGTTCTGTTGGACTATGCTGCTTCAGAGCAAGCTGCTCTGTACAGGCTAGCAAAGAGCTTTCTTCACTTTGGAACCAAAGAGATCAGAAAGGCAAAAGTAGAAAAAGACAAGTACAAAAACACAAGCTAGCAAGAAACCTTAAACAAGTCTTTTTAGGCAGCATGAATTCCTTGGTTTTGCCCCAGACTTAGCCTATAATTCTGTACCATAAGCTTTGCCAATATTTGATTTTTGTTTGGACTTACTTTTCAGGTTTCGTACATGTGAATTAAATACCAATAGCACCATGACTTCTACTTGTTAGTGAGAATTATGACTAGAAACTTCACACGGTGTTTATTGGATCACATTATGTTTAAAGTTTTATTCTGGATTAGCTTTAAAGGAAAAGTGATGGGAGGCCGCAAGCTACAATTCTGTTATTTCTGATTTCTTTAAATATTTTTAAAGGTTAACCATCCTTAAAGGTTGTAAAAGTTGTCTAGAACAATTTTTAAGAAAAATCCTATAATAACTGATGCTGCCCTAAATATTACTTACATATATAGACAGAATGTTGTGAAACTACCCAAATGACAGTATGATTTTTCTACCTAACATAAGATGACGTAGTCGTCAAGTGCACACATGGTTGGTAACCTTTTATCTGTCATGAGCATTTCATTCTACCTATTCTCATTCAATTAGTCAGTATATACTTATATATATGGGATGCTTGAGATGTCAGGGGAAAATGATAATTGAGTTTATTCTTATACTACAAATATATATAGGTGTATTTATAATACTGTCAAAGCCTAATACACATTGGTTATGACAAATGAAATAAAAATGTCTATAAAATATATAACCATATAATATATGGCTTTTTTTTTTGCCTTAGTTATACATAAAACTTTTTTATAAATGCAGGAAGAACGAAACAGGCTAGCAAAAGAGCTTTCTTCACTTCGAGAACAAAGGGACCAGCTCAAGACAGAACTAGAAAAATACAAAGAATGTGACCCACAGGTTGTGGAAGAAATACGTAAGTTTGTGTCACATATTGAGGATTTTAACTTTGCTAATGAAAAAGACTTTGTATCTGGTAGCCTGGTAACCATTCTCCATGAATATAAGAAAATAAGCCATTAATAGTATTAATGTTGCATTAACATTTCCTTTGAGGAGACTTAATGTTAAAGCATTGACCAGTGATAGCTTTAAAGTTAAAAGCATGTTAAGAGTAAGAAAATTTCATGGGGTAGAAAGATAAAGACATAAAATGTAAGCTTAGGAAACTAAGGAGTCAGAGAAGGGGTTAAGTTGGGCCCCAAGTATCTTGACTCTGGAATGAAATCCACCATTATTTTCTAGGGAAAAAAATACCAAAATATAAGGACTTGCACGTTGCAGAAAATCTGTGTGTTGACGTCCCTTTTGAATATACAGTGATGTTTTGCCCTACTTTTAAACCAGAGTCTCCAAAGCTTCATTTTGAATAATTTGTATGTATTTGTATAAAGATAGAAATTTGAATATTTAAAGAAATGAAAGGGTGTATTATAAAGATACTGTATTTAATTGCTAAGGAAAATATAACTTTCGTCACATTTTTCTGTCTTAGCCTGTCTTTTCATTTAGGGAACTTTACCAAATGAAACTTCTAGTAAAAACTGACATTATACTATGTGATTGAAGGCTTTGAGAGAAAATATATTTGGCACTTGAAAATTAACCAGAGATCAGTTTAATTACAGTTAAGTTATCCTTGATGGTACTCTCCACAGTTAAAAGAACTCTGAGCAGTTCCGTAAGTGTAATCCTGAAGTTTAACTTAACTTCAGAGACAGGTAGCTGCACCATCCCAGGAAGCACATCCACGAATGTACAGTGCACAGCTTATGGAGGCCAGCATGTTTTCATCCTGGTTCCATTGATCGTCCAGGGTGATTTTCAAAGAGAGGTGGAGGCAGAAAAACCCCCTGAGCTAGTCATTTTCTGTAAATTAAGTTTTTGGGGAGATGTATTAGCTCTTTCATGCCCCCCACAGGTTCATTTCGTTTATCGTCATCCTGCAGAAGAAAGTGCTAACCAAATCTGCTGCTACACAATTAACCACTTTAATTTGCTTTGAAGTTTTAACTAATATCAAATGACTCTCAGTGAATATAAGGACATCAAAGCGGCAGGTGACAGGTAGGAGGTTACTACCAGGAAGTGAGGCCTGCTCATGCTTCATGCTTCATCTTAAAAAGAAAACACAGACTGCTTGGTGAAGAGGACGTCAAATATTGTGTGTCTTGTCTGTAGTAGTTTGTTTTTTTTTTTAAGTCCTAACCCAAGGATATGTTTATTGATTTGTGAGTTGAGAGAGAAATTGATGTGAGAGAGAAACATCAATTAGTTGCCTTTTGTACTTGCCCCTACTGGGGATCGAACCTGCAACTTTTTGGAGTACGGAACAATAGTCCAGCCAACTGAGAACAGTTTTATTACCCACATTTAATATTTTCAGCTGATTTTCAGGAACAGTATAGCTGCACCCAATAGCAGTTCGTCATGAAAATTCTGCTTTGACACAGTAAAACATTAACCAAATCCGATCCTTCATTTGTTGCTCTTACTTGGCTCTACCTTGCTTCCTAATTTCAGTTTTGTGTGATTCTTGGGTGCTTTCCTTGAGGTACCAACTCTTGCTTGCCTGTTTCATTCTCTTTTCTGTCTAGCACCCACAATTCTTAGCTGCAACCAGTCAAGGCTTCTGCTTTTCCACTCTGTGGTCCCCACTGTATCGCCTCGGCTGGTTAGATGACCCTGACTGATACCACTTCTACTTAGGACCTCCCATTTTTACAGTACTTGTCATAATTTTGATTTCATATGTCCTCCCAGAAATGACTCAAACTCTTTATTAGGCTTACAAAGCCACTCTGACATACACTGATGGCAGCTGGTCATCTTGAAGTGCAGGAAATCGACAGGGATAGAGAGCTGTGCCAGCCTGATTCATGAAGCGGGAAAACTTTTATTTCAGGCATGTCATTTCGGGTATCACCATTCCATGGACCTCTGAATTAAGCAGCAGCTTTGGCAAGTGCATCACCTCTAAAAAAAAAATAATAAAACGTGAAGACACTTCAGGGCGTATAGAGGGCGATGGACCTTTTGGAGGGCTGGAAGCATAGTTGAGGGGGAGGTTGTAACTGGTTTTATACCGGTTGCCTGAATTCTGCTCTCTGTCATAACCCTTGAATTTTAAAGCTTGGTAAACTGTTTCTCAACCCAAGGAAAACGTACCAGTGCAAATGAGTATTATGGGTATGAGAAGAAAGTTTTCTGGTTTAGAGTTAAGAGACTTTATCAGTCTTCATCAACATCAGACCTAGATTATCTTTTAATATGTATTTATATAGCTACATAAGATGGATCTATGTTTGGACCCTGTAGGATTTGTAATGATGAATTTATCACGGTTGTGGTAATTTTTGACATTTTCACATTGTACATTTCTGATCATAGCAGGGGAATGAGAGGGAAAGTCCTTACTTCCTGGCTTTGTGATATTCGTTTCCTGCATTAAAAAAATATTATCTATTTTTATTATACATTGATTATAGAAAATTAGTACATATTTAATAGACAGTAGATATTGCAGGACAATTACATTATTCCATAAATATATTTTAGGTGTCAGGGTAAGAGAGCTTATTCTATGAAAAGCTACCAAACTACAATTTGAAGGTGGGGGAGGGGTGGGGAACCATTAAAGCCTACATACCTGTAAACAGAATTTTTAGTCTAATTTCAGTTTATACTTGTCTAGAGAAATGTACTATTTCTCTGCTTTTAAAATTCAGCTAGCAAAACTTTATTCAGATGTGGCACTTCCACTTCCAGCAAAGATAATAATGGACTAGATTTATTCTCCCACCTGAAACAAAAATATGTGGTATAATGGCTTTCAAGATGCTTGATATCAGACAACAAAGGACAGTAATTATTAGACCAGATGAAGTAAGCCTTATAATTGTTCCACCTTGTTTTGTTGAGTTTTCTGGCTTTGACACAAGAAAGCGCCTAGGCAGAGCCCTGCGGACTCCCTTAATTGAGAAGAAGGAGTTGCGAATCAGGGAGGTCTACGTGGCCGGAGCTGATGAAGGGCAGCGTACTAGAGAGGACAGAGGTGCATAGAAAGATAACCCTGGATGTTTATAAAGGGTTCCTCTCAAGTATTCAGTTCATGCATATGAGGAAACTGCCCAAAGCTAGGAAAAGAGCAGTCTCAAAGAATTAGAAGGAACAGGGCGAGGCACTCACGTAAGACCAGGAATAGTGCCTACTCTTACCAGCCAGGTTGGAAAAATTTCTAATTCACAAGGCATTGGGTAGAGTACTCAAGAAGGTCTTGCCTCCTTCAACCCACCTAACAAACAATAAGAGCAAGTCTTGAAAGCATCAAAGTGTATCAAAGTAACTTTTGGCATCCCAGAACAAGTTCAGGAATATTTATAGGAGTACAGAAATATTTAGTACCCAACAAAATAAAATTCATCGTATCTGGCATACAATGAAAGATTATCAGGCATTCAAGGAAGTCGGAAAACATGATCCTTATGAGAAGAGTAAACCTTCAATAAAAACTGACCCAGAACTGACACAGATAGTTAAATTAGAAGATTATAACATTAAAAGTTATTATAAATGTATTCTATATGTTCAAAAAGTTAAGTAGAAACATGGAAGCTATAAAAAAGACCCAAGTCAAATTTGTAGAGAAAAATACTTCTGAATTGGAATAATAGCAGATTAAACTTTGCAAGAGTAAAGATATGAAAGGAAAAGAAGGTATTTGAAGACATCGCAATAGAAATGCTCCAAAATGAAACTCAGAGGAAAAAGACTTTTTCATGAAAAGAGCACTCAGTTAACCCTAACATAGGTGTAACTGGAGCGCCAGAAGGAGCACGTGTTGGGGGCAGCAGAGGCTTCCAGTCCAGAAAAACCTCTGAAGAAGTTATTATCAGAAATAAAGGCTAAATTGTTTGCAAATTTGATGAAAACTATAACCCACAAATTCGAGAAATTTAAGTATGTAATTAGTAAATGGCAATGATCTCCTTATCACTAAACCTGAAGAACTTTTTCAGGCTTTAACCTCTACTCACTCCCAGTCCCCTTTCCCCAATGAAATTGTTTTTAAATGTGCTTTTTGATAGGGAAGGATTACATAGTATTTTGGCTGTCACATTATTGTGGAACAGATTATACTGGATTAAAGGTTTATGAGTTTCACAAATTGATTTTAATAGGATTTCATTCTTAATGGCATGACTATAGCACTCATATTACAACAATTAGGCTTATCTGTAAGCCTGTCATGGTTTATTTTGAAACAGTTTTTCTGCTGATAATAGCTATAACCCTTTTGTTCTTGTAGACATGGCTATGTATTATCTCTTACTTATTTCTCAATAATTCTTGCAGGAAATATTTATGTTTCATCATGCCAGTAGAATTACTGATATCATTAAGCAAATATTAGCAACATTAGTTGCAAGTATTCAAGAAATAAGTAAAAGGAATAATTTATAAAAAATAAAATTTAATTTTAGCTGCTGTGACCATTACTTAAGAACAAATGAAATACATTGTAATAAAAATTAAATTCCCACAAAAATACTTGAAAGTAAATCTTAGAAGTACTTAAGAAATTTTCTTAGAAATAAATGCCAGGATGACAGTAAAAATTGTGGAGTAAGAACCTCTGAAAATTTTTACCCTTTCATGAAAGCTGGCAAAAATTGTCACAACTTTGTCAGAATTCTAAAAACAAATGAGAGATTTGCCATTCAAGAGGAATGGCTGAATCTCAGCAAGAATAGGTGTTTTGTGGTGTTTTAACTTGCCCTGTATTCAACCCCGACTCTCCGGCTTTAAAAAATAGCAGCCCTGCTGCATCCTGGTGTCAAAGGAAGCGGAAAGAAGCTGTATCTGTTTAAGACCCTCATTCCCAAAGAAATGTCGTTATCCCTGTCGATGTCTCTG